CTGTAGTTGCTCAGGGGAGCTATTCAGATGCCTCATTTATTGGAGCTTAATAGATTAAAAGTCCAAATTGAGTCTCATGATATAAGCCTAATCAAGTTCTAATCTGCATAATTTTCCCATAAGCAGCAATGGAAAATTTGGATAATTTATGTTTCAGCAGTTGCCAATCATGTGTTAAATAGCATTGTTGCATTTACTTATCAAAATATTTTTATTGATCTTCACTTCATCTGACATTTGGCTTTGGGAATTTTTTTCCTGGCATTAACAGGAAATTTAATTCATTTCCTAGATGATGTAATATGAGATGTTTCTCTTGACTTTAACATGTCTTTATAGATCATTTTTAACGGTGATCTTTCCCTTTTACAACTTCATATTGAATACCTGTCTCAGCAAACCTAGATGACTGGGCCTAATTTATTTCCCTAGTTTAACGTAGCATATGGATTTCTAACCATCATTTCTATGCACACAATAAAAGATAATTTGGCTCGCCATTTGAACCAATTCCTTTATGTTAAATCTGGGGGGTAGAGGAAGCACTTACCTTCATTTCTCTATCTATTCTAGGGGAGGTGATGGATAAGGATTTTCATCTCCTCCCTCCCTAGAAAGGCTTGGGGATTTAACTAGGGAAGATTTAGAAAGTACTTTGCATTTCCCCCATGGAAAAGTACTGTAATAAAGCATCTATAATACATTCTGAGTTGTGCATAGGGCCGTACCAAAGGAAGTTAAGCCTAACTACAGTGGGTCTGGTTGTTGTCTTCTATTGTTTAAAAGTGAAAACAATAAAAAAGTAAGACTGGTACAGGACTCAAACTGGCCTGCCCGGCTTTGTACCTGGGAAGGAAAGACCATCACCCAAGTAGGTGGTAAAGTGTTGTGTGCAGTGGATTCACCAGCCTGATTGCCTGGCTGCTGCTTCCAGATCTGTCTCCTACCAACTGGGTGAGATTTATCAAGTTACCTAACAGTTCTGAGTCGTATCTTCCTTCTCTATGAAATGGCTGAGGAACAAATGAGGTGACCCATGAACAAAACCTTTAGCTCAGATTGGCACAGAATAAGAAGCAACATGGCATTGTAGTTTAGAGGAGACTTCTGCTGGATTGGCAGGGTTCAAAGTTGAGATCTGCTAACTAGATGTATACCTGTGGGCAAGTTGCTTATCTGTGCATCAGTTTTCTCATCAGCAAAAAAGTAGTATCTGTTTTGCAAGCAGAAGTTATTATATGAGCAGAATTTAGGACATAGCAAGCACTTAATAAATGTTGACTGTTGTTTTTGCCATTGAGGGTCTATGTGAGCTCCTAATTCTTCATTATTGATTATCTTAATCAGTCTAGCTCTACATGATTACTGACTTTGCTTTGAGTTCCATAAGCACTATGACATTGAGCTGTCCTCATTTTCTAACACACTCCTGTCTGCATTGCCTAGGAACCCTTTTCCAGTCATTGTCTCTGGTAGAGCTTGGCTGAGCCATAGCCCTCCTTCACTTATGACTATACGGTGTGTCTTGGATTCCCCATGTGCATGTGTGCATGCATATAGCAGGAATGCAAAACAACTGCTTTTAAAAAAACAAAGCCTTGGTCATCTCCTTGTTATTCCCATGTCTTTTCTCTTGGTATTTCTCAGGAATAGGTCAAATGTTTGTGTTAAATTCTTTAGTTCAAAGCCATCCTAACCGAAGCACCATTGTCTGAACTTTTTGTCCCTTCCCCTAACCTTCCTGGCCCAGTCTATGGAATGACCAATATCATGAAAAGAGCATGTGACAGTGAAGGTTTTGTTTAGTTCCATGTGATAATTAAAGGAGAGGGGGTTAAGTCTAGAAGGCTCTAGAGTGACTCTGTAGTTGCTATAAAGAATTAAGAACCTTTTCTATGTGAACACTGGCCACCAGTGCTCTGTATACCTTAAAGAATTGCAAGTCCCCCTGAATTCTTGCTTCATACTGGCATTATACATTTCAATTTAGCCTTACAACTTCCCTACGTAGGATATGCTTGTGGTTTATAGATGAAAAACCAGAGGCTTGGAGAGAGTCTGTGAAGTGCTTATAATTACATGGCTAAGAAGTGGATGGGCCAGAATTTGAACCTGAGACATCTGACTTCAAGCTCGTACTCTTAACCATTCCATTCTATTTCCTTTCTACATGTCAGGTATTTTGTACTCAGTTTGGAATTTCAAATAACAGGAAACCAAGCCTTTGGCCTAAAGTTCTTACACAGCATATGGAATAAGAATGCTTGTCATGAGAGAGTGCCAGACAAGTATCGTGCATGATGCCATTGAATAAATGCTTGTCACACTGCCACTGAAGATTGAGGTGGGGAAGGGATTTACTTGAAGGAGAGAAGGTGGTCTTTGAAATTCATTTTTGGCACAAAACTTGCCTTCCATGACCATGTTCAATGGAGAGCAATGGGGATACATCTAAAGAATGAGGAGTCCATCTCAATGAGAGCTTGAGCTAACTGAAGACTTCTTGTTCTTGGTCTTTAATTCTGATACTCTTAGTCACTTCCTTTGGTGAAATAAGGGGTTGTTTCTAAAATTAATTTCCCTCTTGCTAGCTTAATTACTGAAGGCAGTGTTTTCAAGTTTCCTTGTTCACTAGCTGCAGATACATGCAGCACCTTCTATGTGCTGATGCTCCTACATACAGAACTTGAGCTTTGCTTTATGTAGAGCCTCAGAGTGCTGCCAACAACAAAGGGGAGGAGAGTAAGACCTGGGCACAACTGAGACCTCCCCCTCATCAACCATACCTCTGATGAATGGCAAAGACACCATCACTCATCATCAAAGGCCAGATTGATGCATCTGTTTAGATAGAAGGTACCTGAGTTTCTCATCTCTCCAAGGCCATTTAGGGAACCCTGGTCAGCCTGACATTTCACACCATAATTTTCCCATGTTAGGACCCCTAAGAAAACAACAACACTAATCAGTTCTGTTCATTTTTAACAGAACTCTATAGGAGGGACAAAAGGAACTCTTTATTTTTGTGATGCTGCCTTTTGTGTTTTAAAATGTTCGACCAGAAAAGTAGCAAAATAAGAAGAGGCAGTATCATTGCTGAAGTTTTCTTGCCAACACAAGCACACTGTGGGGGTCACACGTGAGGGAGAGACACTTTCAAGGGAAGAACGTCTTTGGACACCCACCATAGTTTGTCAGTTGCAAATGCTAATGGAACCAGGCTTGGTGACTGAAGGGGAAAATGGGATATGAAAGCAAAATGAAAGAGGCCTATGAAGCAAGCATGTCATTTCTAAATGAAGGTTTCATGCAAAGGAATTGAGTCTTTTCACAGCTGAAAATGGAATCTTTAAATAAGATAAAATAAAAGAATGCTTTGGCTTGTTCTTGGTTCTATAATGAAATACAGTTTTCCTAATACTGTATGACCTGCATTTCTCCCTGCTTTATGGGTGCTATGACTTGACGTACAAACCCGTATTTTCTCAAGTCAGCATTTGATGATGGATGTCAAAATACAGTCCATGTATTATGCATATAGCATTACCGACTTAAGGTGTTTACTTGTCAAGTTGAAGAAATTCAAAAACGTCACATCCACTGAATCTGCACAGCTGTCACTTGCAGTTTTTCATGCCTTTGAATGAAACTTCTGATGAAAACAGTTTAGTTTTCCCCTTCACTATTCTAGGGGAAGGAAACATCTAGCATTTAAAATGCATGTTTATGGTTATGTGGTTGGCTTGAAAACACACACATTCCAAAGTTGAGGAAGATAGATGGACACTGTAATGTCATTCACATTAACTTACCTTGTTCAGAATGTATTAACATAAAGAAAAAAGTTAAGTGCAATCAGGAAAGGTATACTAAGTAAAACTTTTTTCCTTCCTGAAACTATGGCACTTGATATGAAATTTATACATAGGAGAGCAGAAAATGACAAAGCCCTTTCATGTTTTTCTGGCATTTTTTTTTGCATTATGTGCCTCCCAAACAACAAGCAATTATTAAGCCCCTGCCATTTCTTTCCCAATTCACCCATACCCAAAATGCCAGATTCAACCCAATCTTGTCACATTACTGGGGAGTAAATCAGAAATCTGGTCACAAAATCTATTCGGAGTTTCTTCCCTAGAAACTTAGCAAGTGACTTTATACCTATAAATTCCTAATTCATTGATAAACCCATGTAGCAATCCACCAAGGGCAAAGAAGAGAAACCAACGTGAATGTGAACACCTGCCTCTCCTCTGGGGAGAGGAGGGTAAATTTAGCCTTGCAACAAACATGGAGCTGACGGCTCCACTTGCCATATGCCTTGGTTGGAAAAATTAATTTCCACCCAATGAATGTATGAGGCAGATACATTTTTCATGTTTATGTGTCTCTGTGTTTATCCTTAAAGACGCCATCACTGGGTATGGCTGGGAAAGTTTCTCACTCTCACTAAAATCATCAATCTGTATAAAATCTCACATAAAAGAAATCCCAACAAATGTGGTTCTAGGGTGGTTACATCAGGAATTCAAAGACAATTCTAATACTCAATTCGGCCAGTATCATTCAGTTATTTTTGTACTCTACTGACTGGTGTTCATCTTCATAGCAAGATGGCAGCCACTCGTCTGAAACAAAAAACAATATCCATTAGGTCAAAGAGAATCTCTTCCTAAGTGTTGCTTTCAGATTTTCCACCTCATCCCATCAGCCAGAACTGTGTCAAGCCCCAGGCATAAGTCACTCTTAGGCAGGAGGATAAGCAATCAATTGGTTTAAGATAACAGTCAGGATGGGTTAGGTTTTGCTATGGTAATGACAACAACAAACAAATATCAGTGGTTCAAGGCAACATGGCTTTCTTTTTCACTCAGATAAAATGTTTTGTGGGTCTGGGAAACTCTCCAAGGCTGCTGTCCAGCCTTCATCTCCAAAATTACCTGTGTCCTGACAATTGTCATGCTTTGGGAAGAGAAAGACAGCAAGTCAAATACTTGTTTCAGAAATGATTTACATTGTTCTGCTTAGTTTTCAAGGACCAGAACATTTCATGTGTCACATGGTTCTATCTGACTCCAAGGGGACACAGAGGTAAATCTTATCTTCCTATGTGCCAGGGAAGGGGAGGGAACCAAAATTTTTATGCAGAATAAATAATTGGTGTAGTGTAGATTTTTAGGAAATCATTATAGTGATTTAAAATTATTTACAGTGGTTTTCTACCTTGTTCTTCTAAAAAAATAACTCAAAGTTTCTCCTGAGAATGCCAATTGTTGACCTCTAAATAATGTAGAAGCTACATTTTTGGGGTTGAATATATATACCACATTCACATTATTTCCAAATTTTCTACTTCTCTGATTTTCTCCTTCCTTTTTTTCCTTCCCACTAGGATTCACACCTCCTGGAATGGACAGATCCTCTCCAGATAACAGCCCCGTGCATGGGATGTTACGCCAGCCATCCATCACAACTGGGGTTAACATCCCCATCATCACTGAACTAGGTAGGGGTCATTGTTAACTCTGAGGTGATTTCTTTTGTCCTCTCTTTCAGACCATGCAGGATATGAGGAAGTTGGCCCGTTTCTTAGCCCTTTCAGCTTCATCTGCTACAGTGGGGTTTGTTTGGGGGGAGATTGAAGAGAGGTATGGCAGAAACATGGCAGATTATCTGAAGAAAAACTGTTCTATCTTTCCTCTGAGATGAATAGACAGTTTCCTTCATTCTGGCCACTGTTTTCAAAGGAGCATGAGACAAAGCTTTGAAATCAGGGCATATATTTGGGAAGGGGGAAGAAAGGAGGAAATGCTTATTCCATGGTTACTTTCTGAAGCATTCTGTCTGGATAACCAACAATTGAACCCTCCGCTGTTATACAAAACCTCAGGTCTAAGCCAGACCTAGGTAGAGCACTGGGCTGATGTATTTCAACTCTACATTTAATATATCCTAGTTGAACTTCTCAGCCAAAAGGATTTTCAACAAATAGCCACTCTGGTGCAAAAAACAATGGAATTTTGGCCAATGGAATTCAACTTCTACCCTACTTATGGCACTTCCAGCTAACGTGTATAAATTTGCAAAACAGCTGAGTGGCTCTTCCCCCAAGACAAGTACAAACTGCTTATAGGCTTGGGTCCCTTTCCTTTAGAATGTTTCCTTTGTTGTTCCCTCACTCTCTTTTTTTCTGTACTTTCCTCCACTCCCTTTCCCTAACCCTTAAATGCCCTATCCAATTAGCTAAACCAGGCAAGTTGCCTTTGGTATCAGTCAATCAGGAAAAAAACAGTGGAACACACATTCTAATGATAACTGAACTGGGTAAGAAGCACTGTTTTCCTTGACATCAGTATCTCCTTTTGTTCTGTTCTTGGTGTTTCCAACTATCATTGGCTTGTTTTTTTATTTCACTGGGCTGTAACAGAAAGCACTACCCCATGGCACTGCTTTGAATGTGTTTTATTTGTGGCTCTGGTTGGAATCGACTGTCTTGTTCCGGCCTTTCTTAATGATTTTTTTTTCCCACACAGCATCAGTAAACCTTTGATCACACCCATCTGACCTGGCAGTTGTTTCCAAAGCATCTTTGCTTCTAATTCATTTTCTGTGGCCTGAGCCTTCTTTTTCCACGTGTGTCTCGCTCTCCCACCTTCTCCCTGCATTCCTCTTCCAACACACTGTCAGTTTGACTGACACGTCTTCACAGCTCTCAGAGGAAGTCAAAGGAGAAATATAAAAATTTTAAGATAAGAAACCTAAGATGGTGCTTTCCCTCCAGCTGTTTATTTGCCTTTATTCTGACTTTATTTGCCTTTTTTTTCCTAGTAAGGCCCTTTCTCAGAAGCTCTGGTTCTGAAGCCATAAAAGCAGCTGGTTCCTAGGGGACCCTTTCTTACTAAAGCCAGAGGTCAAGAAGGGTGCCGATGAGGTTAGCAGCCCTGCACTCTGACTCCTCCACCCCTCTGGCCCAGAGCCCTCTCTAGGAGGTTCATAGTAGATTTGTCTGGAAGATAAAGGCCTCTAGTCATAACTGCATCCATCAGACTCTTCTACAGTTCCCTATGACTTAGTTAATAACTCCATGAAGGACACCCCTCAGCAGCAGGCCTCAGAACTGCAGAATGATCTAAATATAGACTGCTTAAAGGGCTCTGGGCAGAGAAGTAGATGGAGAGGTGGGGAGCACCTGCCTTCAAATAACTCATAAATGAAATGAGCACTCCATTTTCTTGGCCCCAAAATATATTTCAAAATAGAAAGAGCAGGCTTTTAACACAGTAATCTTACTTGTGATGTGTCTAGAAGCTAAGAAATAAATTGTCCACCATTCAGCACTGCATTATTGTAGACGTAACTATTTATCAGGACAAATTCACTCAGGTCAAGAGTATCACACAGTATATTTTCTGTTTCCAACCATAGAAGAGGTATCTTTTTCATGTTTAGTGTAGCTGGCTAAAAGCCTAGGTTTCTAGATTGCTTGACTCAGAACTATAGAGCAATAAGAGACCCAGGGAGCTTATAGAGCCTAGACTTGTGGTTGGAAAATTCATCCAAACAGCTCCATCTTAGAAACATACGGCAGTATTTTAAAAGCATAGGTGCCAGGAGTTTCTTTCTCTATTTGGATTTCATGTGCCATGAACTGACTAGGATACCTTGACTTGTGATTAGTGGAAAAAGAAAAAAGAAAAAAAAAAAAACCTACATGCCCAGATGTGAGGCAACAATTTGGTTATTTGATAACATAATTAACTCTCCTGAAGCTCTTCCTCACTGAATTTCCTATTGGCTTTCAAAGAGGCTTCCATGTGATCACACTACCCTTTCCTTCTTCTGTAAGCCCCGTTTCTGTGGTAGCCACACCACTGTCCTCTGACCTCTTCTCCTCCTATATCACCCACACAAATATTTACCATTTAACTACATGTTCTGAGATTTGTGCTGCATTACACTGGGCTAGGAAATTGCCCTTTAAAAAACATGGGAGTAACCAAGGAAGAAGTTTTATAACTGCAAGATGTTGTAGTCTTCATCCACCTGGAATCTCAATCAGTGGTAGTAGCATGGCAAAGCTTCCTAAAAGATCCATAAGAAAAAACCTTTTTTGAAGTTGTTTAACCCACTGTTTCCCAATTGTATTTGGCCACATGTATTTTAGGGTGATGTTTTTGTCATTTCTTAATGTCTACTTAATTACTATTCTGGGAAATCAACTTTGGGTGGTGCTGGCAATTCTCCAGAGACTGGGCATCCCAGAACAATGTTCAAGACCTTCACTGAACCCTGTGTAGTGCTTCAGAGTTCTTTCCCAATGACTATATCCCTAGATGACTGAAAATCTGCAGTCTTCTGTCCTACTTTGAGCTACTTCACCTCCCATATGGTACTTTCCCTTTCCCCATCCCATTGAAAAGAGGTAACATATGCTACCCCTTTCAGGGTACTGATGTACATGCCAGCAGCAGCTATTATGAGTAACTAAAACCACACTCTTCTGCATGTAGGCTCTAGCTTACATTTTCTGATATCCAAAGCAGAAACACTAAACTTTGACCCAATTTTTTGACTGTTAGAAGACAAAATTACAACAAATATAGTTTTGAAGTCTGAATTGACTTTACTTGAAATTCTAGAATGGGGCAGTAGCCCAAGCCAAAATGGTTCAGAATGCTTGGCCTACCATGTGTATATACTGATAGCCAGAGAAAAAGCAGTGACATAGAGAAAAAGGGAAGTGAGGTACAGAGATAGCCTGATTGGTTATAGGTTGTATCTGGACGTAGTTAGAGCGCTTATGGGCTGCTTATGATTGGCTGAGACTCAGCTACTTGTTACAAGAGTAGGTTACAGTCTGTTCACATGTAAAGTTAGGTTTCAGCTCATTATATCCAGAGACACTTTTAAGCCAAACTTAAATATGAATGGAGGCAGCCAGAATTAATTCAGTTTTATAGGAAGAAGGTGAGGAAAAGCTAGCATTTGAAGGATCCATAAGCAGACTATTAATGTTTCTGAGAGAGGCAGAGGGAAGCTTGGCATTTTCACAATTTAAAGGATTGATAGACGTTTGAAATCAGAAGGACAATCATGATTATACCCTCTGTTTATCTAGCGCATGGCATGAGCCAGGTGCTGGGTCAGGCTCACAAGACATGGTCTCATCCAGCCTTTTGACAACCTCATAATTTCCCATTTTACAGAGAGAACAACTAAGTTATATGGTCATGAAATGCTTTACCCCAGAAAGTTGGGTAAACTGGACAAAGGTCCAGCTGTCAGAACCTGAATTTTGGACTTTTACCCACTAGCCAGCAGTCCACATGCTGCTGCTGAAGCAATGGGGGTCCAAATGTGACCAACTTTGGAAAAACAGAGCAAAGATTTCCCCCCACTTAGGGAAAAAAGATGGTGTCATTTAAAAATAATTGCATGCCTAACTTTATGCTATTGTTATTTATTCTGCTTCATGCAATGAACAAGCAAAACTTTCATTTTTAAAGAAAAGTTATCAGGAAAGTTACTTTAAAAATTAAAACAATAACTCTGGGAAAGAGAATTAGCTGCTGATACATAAAAGAAGGAATCAGAGGAAGGAAATCTTGTCTGTTCTCTTCCTAAAAGCACCATAATTATTCCAGAAATCATGAGTGCCCCTCTCCCCGCCTCCCCACACTTCCTCCTATTACGTGCTCTGCAAAAGTGATAATTTCTGAAGCCAAGATGAGAATGGAAATTAATTTGTCATTTAATTTTTAATGAGTTAAAGACATCTGAGTGACACAACTAATCAGTCTGCACTGTGTGCAGGAGGAGTCCTTGAGGGATCCTCAGATGGAAATGAAATACAGCATCCAGTTCTATATCTGCTGAAGAAGCACAGAAAAGACTGAGCTGGTTAGAAGGGGAAAGGGAGAACGTAGGTGAAGCCTTACAATTCAGAATGCAGAGACAATCCTTGTTAGGAAGCAGCAGGAGGCAGCCAGGATCCAGCTGCCTGGGGGTTCCTGAGTATTCAACAGTACCTGTTGGGTGTACACCTGAATTCTGGGGCTGGTGACACCAGGCACGACCCAGGCCAATCCCCAGGGCAGGCTGTGGCTCATGCCTGAGGGCAAATTTCTCGCTATTTGCCTTTGTTGTGCTCCTAGTCCATTGCTCTTTCTTCTGAATAAGTTGCTTTCTTTTCTCTGTGTCTTACCATCCTAGCATGGCTACTCACCATTGAAATAGATCCATCTCTTAAAGGACTTGGCTACCAAAAAACACTCCAGGTGTTTTTCGGTCATAATTCTAAAACTATACCAAAGGACTGGCCAGCACTGTCTACTAGCACTCTACCAGCTTGCCATAGAACAAGTCAGCTTGACCTCATTACTCTGGAGGTCTTAAAAATTTAAGCAGTCCCATAGGAGCACTGCCCCCAACCAAAAGTTCCATCAGTGGCTTCCCCATGCTTTTGTTTCCTTGGCAGTGACTTCAGTGTATCTAAACCAGTCACCTGGTCAATCTCTGGTTTTGTCGCCTGTGCATTGTCTTAGGTGCTAATTCTTATTTTATGCTTTTTCTAGTGAATGATACTAATGTTCAGTTTTTGGACCAAGATGATGACGATGACCCTGACACAGAACTGTACCTCACACAGCCCTTTGCATGTGGGACAGCATTTGCTGTCAGCGTCCTAGACTCGCTCATGAGTGCGGTGAGTTGTCCAGCTACTTCCTCCCTACTCGGTGGGTAGAGGATGTACCCAAGGACCATCTCCAATATAGGAGGCGATGATTTGCAGAAAACAAAACTTAATGAGGTTTCAATCTAGGATGGAATACCAACATTAGTCAAATAATCACACAAGTAAACAAGTGGTTATAAATTCCTCAAAGTGCAAGGAAGACTATGAACTGGTCTTGGGGATTAGAAAGATTCCTCAAGGAAATACATATATATGAAATATTAAGATCTGAGCCATAAAAGGGAGATTTTTGTGAGCGAAAGTATTCCTCAAAGGAGAAGGGAAATAAACAGAAAGATCTGGCTGGGGAGGGGAGCAGAGGGAGGGGACAACAGGCTCTCTCAAAAAAGGCAAAGACTGGCCACAGTGAGAACAAACAGGGAAGAGGAACTGAGGTTAGAACTGTAGGATCTAGAAATCCATTTTCATAGTTTTGGTGTTTTTCTCCAGCGCAATAGGAGTCACTGAAAGGTTTAAAGTTGGAGAATGACGTAATGAGGCCATGGGTTTAGGGAATCATTTTGGTTGTTGTGTAGCGAATGCTTGAAAGGGCAAGAAGGCAGCAACAAGTCTAAGTGGCTGTTGTTGCTTGAACTGTGGGAGAGCTGGTAAAGATAGAAGAGGAAGGGTAGATTTGAATAATATTTGTTGATAAAATTGAGACTATCTGGGAATAGATTGAACATGAACAGAAAGTAGACAGGACAGTGTGTCAAGGGGGACTTCTTAGTCCCTGTCATTGAAGGAGCAGTCCCTGAGTAAGGAACAAGCACACAGCAAGGCCTGGCCAATTTTCTGGTACAGAGAAGGGACAGAGTGATAGCAAAGAAAAGGGGGCAGGCTGGCTGAGAGATCAAAAACAGCTCTCTTTCTGTTTTAAATAGCTTGATGTGTATCAAATGATCAAGGCATTTGTTTTCTCATTTTTGCAACCTAAAACAAACAACAATTAAAGGAATGGATTCTAGCTTAATGGAGCCATCTTTCACTGCAAAAGGCAAAAGCAGACATTTAGAATGGGTCATAGCCTGAGTATTGTGAAGCGTTCCCAATCAGTATCTTTATTTACTATACAGAAAATCCTCTATATTTTGGAGTTCTCAAATTCACAATTTGTGAAAATGCATACACAGGCTGGATTAAGAACTGACCTTTTGGAGAATCTATGAAACAGAGTTTTATTGAACACATTAAAACTATAAACATAACTCAGAGATTTTTTTACACACATACATTTCTTAAACTGCTTAAGAAGGTTATTCTCTTGAATGTGTTAAACAACTGATAGGCTAATTATGCATTATTCTCATCTATTCATTAAAGTTAATCCCAAAAGGACCTCTATCTGAGGAAAGAAAAAACATACTGCTCTTTAAGACTAATTTAAGTTATTCTATATTCCTGAATGTGGTCCAACGGCAAACATATCTTAGTTAAAAATCAGAATTATAGATTTAAAAATAATTATGAAATGACATTAAGGTTGACTGGGCTTCATGCCATGCTCTTGTTTTCCAAGCCAACAAGGAGAAAACAATGGGCCCTAGGGAGGGGCACTTCTGGTTTTCTGGGGCTCAGGATCCAGCCTGATGTCACTGAGACTGACGTTTCTACCTGCTAGTGATGTTGGGCTTGGTTTGGACAAAGTCCTTGTGCAGGCTGGAAGGAACAATAGAAGCTACACAATGCATTCAATAGAGCACCAGAGTCTCTGTAATAGGCCTTATTGTCTCCAAATCAGGCTTTAATTCATCTCTTTAGAAATGTGAGCTTAATTCTGGTACTGATTAGAGAGATTTCAGAAGAGTCTTCTCAAAAAGAGATGACTAAGTGGTTTGTAGTGATCTTTCTTCTTTCAGAACAAAATACTGTTAGAATTTTTAAAAATCCAAATTTACAAAATGGGGTATGTTTGTACATATCAGACATTCAATGTATTCCAAGTAGGACCAGCTACATAATTGGCAAAGCTAGTTTTTCATAAATGATTAAGCATTTCAAAATGATGACAACAGAATATTAAACCAAACTGGGGCGCCTTCTGAGCATGGACCCTGTGCAACTGCACTGGCTGAACACCCATGAAGTCAACCCTCGTTCCAAGAAATACCATTGGTTTAAGCAGCATTGAACTTGTACACAACCAAAGGGGCATATCTGGATTTGAGTTGCATAGCTATCTCTCTATAGCATCACTAGGGAGTTAATTCCTAGAAACTCAGATGAAAAATCAAAGTGAATTGGTTTGAAATAACAGTTTTAAAAAGCCATCTCCAATCTCCTTTGAAATGCAAATTAAAATGTTTGGGAGAGGGTGGCTTGGGTATGTATGGATGTAATAATTTGAGAGCAGCAATTCTTTTGCATTCCAGCCTGGGAAGAGGAATTTCAGGAATCTAGTAGCTGTTGTATATTTCATCAGCATCATTTATTGAGATGAACTGTGTGAAGTATTTTAGTTACATGGTCTGATCTTTTGGACAGTAATGTGAATAAACCAGGCTTAAATTTTGAAGCAAGACATATTAACTGGCCCACTGATAATGACTTTTCAAATCATCAATCAAAATTCTTATAAATTATTCCACACCTTGTTTTCATTATCTAGGATAAACAAAATCCAGGTTGAGGTCTTGAATTGGGCCTAGTTCAACAGGATCTAGATCCTTTGGTAAGGTATTACCTGTGACTTCTTTGCAGTGTATCCCAACCCTAACTTATGAAAAAGTAGATCAGTCAAATACCAAGGCAGTAACTAGAAATAATTAAAAGGCTTGGCAGGAATTAATATAAATTGAGAAAGTGAGACTCCTCCAAACAGCAGGAGCCAGAGGCAAGCTTCCATCTCAGGCATTCCCTCACAAGCACCTTTGCAACAGCTGCACAGATCTCTTCAGATGTCTGTGCTCTCCTTTTTCTTGCACTCCTCCCTAAATTGCCATTTAATCATGCGTCTAAACATTCCCTGATTATTGTCCTTCATAACTCAACTCCTGCTGCTTGCTACTCCGTTTGTTAAAAGAATAACGTTTTGATTCATCACAGTCATTCCTGGAACATATAGGTATGTCACAGATGTGGCCTTGTTGCTTTGTCCTACAAACCAATGGCAGAAACTCAGGATGAGAGGGAATAATTGTTCTTATGAGTATATGCCTCTGAGAGGAAGAACACAACTTGGAAATGCATTTTTCAGAATGATCTCAATTTGCCGCTCCGTCTACCTTCCCTTCCCTCTTTTTTCAGTCTCTTTGTCTGTCTCTGTCTCTCTCTTTCTCACATGTACACACACACACAGAGGTGTGTGTGTGGCATATGAGTATTCAGATATTTTTTGCCCTTAAAGACCACTTCCTCCTATACTCAATCCTAATTTAAATTCCACCGGGACACCCTGGAAAGAGAAGATCAGACATGACCTCAAAAGACAAAATACTTGGATGCAGAACCCTGCACTATGTTTATAACTATGCGACCTGAAGCTCGCTATGCTTCAGTTTTCTCATCTTTATAATGGGGATAACAATGGTGTCTATCCCGTGGGCTGTCCAGATGAGTCAGTGGTTAAGGTTGTAAAGTGATTAGTGCAATATTTAGAACACACAGGCTCTATTGGGCACTTAGTGAATGTCAGGCATTGTTCCCCATGCTGGCAATGCAACATAAAGAAGGACACAGACCCTTCCCTCCTGTTTTAACTTCCCTTCTAGTGGGTAAAGCAAGAGATAGTAACTATGTAAGGAATAAGTGAATAATGTCACGTAAGGAAAATAGATTTGAAGAACATGAAATAGTTAGAACAGTGTGACACTGGGTCATGAGTTAGGCTTTGTTCTGTCTTTTCCATTATCTGGGACTCAGTTGGGTCCAAGTATTAACTTTACAACCCCTTATGACTTTAGGGCAATCAGGTAAGCACAAAGTATATAAAAGTATCTCAGTGAGAAGATAGATGGAAGTACAAAGATGCAGGTTTGTTATTTACATGGATGTGCATATATATATGCATGCATATCCTTTCTGTTCCCCCCACACATACACACACATACGTGCACATACACACACTCACTTTGAGTGATAAGACTTGGGAGTGATGCATGTAAATGATTAAGGAATCTGATGAAGAAATATTTCTATGTTCTCATCTCTAATGTCACAGATTTGACCTCTGTCAGAAGAAACTGAATTTATGTTAGTAAGACTAGGGGATGTGGCCATCTGGACAGTAAGTCTGCATGCCTTACTATCTTCATTGTACTTTCCTCAAGGGCCAAATCCTGGATGGGTGTTATGGAGAACACTGAGTTCTCTGCTATCCCAAGCTAACCCAGGACTATGTGATTTCAGAGACATAAGTGAATTACTGCTCCATGGTACATTCCTTTTCTTCTGCTCACAGGGAGACAGACAGACCATGGGTTGAGCCAAGGCAGATGAGCTGGCAACAGTGTTGTATCCCAGCGGCAAACAGTGGAATATTTTTCTGGACCCAAAAACATACCCCTGTTGTCACATCAGGCTAGGCAGACCCAGGATAAGAAAAAAAAATCCAATAGTTCTCATCCCTCACGAAAGAAAAATACTAAAAATAAAAAATCCACACCACGAAAAGTAGCAAATATAAAAAATGGCAGCTATGACATGGAAAATGACAATTTTAGAGCAATTATAAACGAAAGGCAGAGTGCCATTAAAGTTAAGGCAATGTTATTAAAAGATGTGTTAATTTTCAGTTAAATTTTCTATAAAAGACCAATTAGTTTAAAAGGCTTGACAGCATTAACTGTGAAACATAAGCTCCAGTAATTATACTTTAAAAAAAATATAAAGAGGAAGATGCTCAAGTGTGGTGGAAATACACATGCAGAAGGATGGCATAGGGCAGGCTAGATGGCGCTGTGGGCTCAAGTTTCCCTGTGGCATTTCCTTGGTCCTTGTCCAGGCCTTCCTGGTTTCCAGTGTTTCCTTAT